GACCTGTAGATATGATTTATTACTGAATTATGCTGTGATTATTATTTTGTCAACTAGGACACTAAAAATCTGGCATCAGCTATAATTTTAGCCGGCTGGCTAAGCTCTCGGCTCGGCTAATATCGGCTATGGCTATAGCCGGCTATAGCCGGCTGTAGCTGTAGCTATTGCCATCCCTAGTCTTAACACACAGTATTATTACTACCTATATTATGTTCAGTCACAGTTTTTCTAAAGAAAAATTGTGATATACTCCTTTTGTTAGATGTGAGCTCCTGTGAACACCAAAATTAAGTTACTATTCTCACTTAAATTTCCTAACTGTTATCTACTTCAGAACTGAAATTCTATCCTTATAACAAATACTAACTTGAAATACTTCTTATATTGGCTTTTCCACTGTTTTATACTAGGATCTTTAATCTTTATAATATAGTTAGAAAAAAGTTGGATTAAAGATTTTAATATACTATCCAACATTAGTCTTGCTGATCTATTTTTTAAAAGCTACAGTTGGTTAAATCTTTGATTTCTTACTACCAATATTAGTTGAACACAACTTAACCACTACATGACTACTATCTTTAATTTTCGAAACTAACTCTGAGATATAATCTTCAGCTTAATCCCATTGAGTTAACATTTTTACCTATTGTTTATGCTGATCAACTTTCTTAAACCAAGCTATACAAGTATTCTCTTAGGCCTCTTTAATTTTATAACATTGCTCATATCCAATAGTAGATTTATTAACTTTTTATACAAAATCGGTTCAACTCTCTTTTCTTATTCTTTACTATTCATATCTTTGTCTTCAACAATACTTGCATCATTGTTATCCTCAATTACAGTTTCGTCATCACTATTAGTATCCTCTTGGTCTTTATCAAGATTGTCTTCATATATGTTTCTTTTATTCTTCAATTGATCTTTTACCGCTTGTAAATCTGGAACTTTTATTCTATATTTTTTTAATTTAATCATTTTTATAGTTTCTACTTGATCATCTGTTCTTGAGCTATTGTCCTTCAAGGACTCAGAAAACTTTATATCCAATTTATATAGCTTTTTTCTGTTATTGACTTTCATGCTCTATTATGATAATATGCTCTAATATGGTTATTATTTTTATTATATTCTTTATTTTTGTTATTTTTCTCTAATATGATAGTCTTTACTAGTTCTAATGACTGATTTAATTCTTAGGCTAAACTTGGATCAATAGTTAACAATTGTTCAGAAGTAATACCAGCTTTCTGATTTATTATATCAGCACCGATTGAATAAGAAGGTACAAAAAAAATGATCAATAGTAAATTTTTCTTAGTTTTGTTTCTTTGACTTTTATATATACTCTTCAACTTTATTTGATTTTCATTCTTTTGGTCTATTCCTAGATAAGCCTCATCATCTTTTTTATTTCTATCATCCTGTTTCCTCATACTAGAACTATGCTTGCTTTTAATTTCTTTAACTTCTATTTTAATTCTAGAGTTGAAGCTTTTTCTTTTTCTGGTTGTTGTATCGAGTTATTCCTAGAAGACTTTTGGAATGCAGGCTCTACAGCAGAACAAAACTGAGTTTTATAATAAGATAAATTTAGAGTTTGATTATTTAAAACATTAGGAGAAATCAAATTATTATTTGTTGACAATATTGAAGGACTTGTTTAAGAACCAAATTTTAGAGTATCCTGAATTGATTTAGAAATCATCACTTGAGATCAAGATAGTTTTCTTGAGTCATATAGAGAGTAATAAGATTTGAGTTGTTCTTAAAAAGCATCTATCAAAAAATAATATTTATAGGCTTTCTTATATACTCATATTTTTTCATAGGCATTCTCTAAAGTCTTAGAATTTAAAAGAGAAATAGTGATAACCAACTCTGGACAAAGTCTACTAACAAATAACTGGATTTTTGCTGCTTCAGAAAATTGATACCCTCCAATTTTTAATTGTTGAATCAAGCTTTTTATTTCAATATAATATTCATCAACTCTTTTTTCCAGATATTGCTTTCGTTAGATTAATGTATTGAACCACTTAGTCTTGAATTCAGGAGTAACAAATTTGTTTAAAAAGTTTATTCAAAAACTTTGTTAAGAATTAGCTTCATTATTCTATTGGTCAATTACTGGATGTTGGTCTTGACAGATCCTCTACCATGTTGTAGCTAGTTTTTTCAATTTTGGTACAATAACCAGAACTCTATAAAATTCTTGGACAAAATTTGTATCAAAAGCAATTTTAATTTTATCTAGCTATGCAATAGGGTCTTGATCTTCTCCTGCAAATTTGGGATAGGAAATTATATTTAACTCAGAATACTGATCATTGGCCTGCAATATTTGTGAAACTTGTAATTGTTGAATTAAGGATATAATCTGAGTAGCTAAATCATAATAGAGATCTGAGATTTGTTGATTATATAATATAGTGTTTTAATTCAATTAATTATTCTCAACTTTCAACAAATATAATAAACTAAACTACTGTTTTTAATCATATCTTTTGCAATTGGTACTCTTGACCTTTGTTAATATTAATCCATTTGGATTGGGCAATTATGTTGATATATGCAAGGGTTGATAATATCAGGATAGTTTTTATATACCTGAGTCTATTTTGTCTTAATGAGAGGTTGATATTAACAGGAGATTGATATTAACAAGGTTGATATTAACCGGGGTCAAGTGTACTATTTTTTTAACACAAATTTCTTTTTCAATCTATACAACTGGCACCAAATGTTACTATTATTTGAGAAAGCTTATAGAACTATCAGCACAATTTAACACCAATAGTTAACTTTATATGTTCTTTATATAGAACTCAAGATAATATAATAATAAATAAATTCGATTATAGTAATAACTCAAGCATGTTAAATTATATAATTGATCTGAGATCAGGCACTTAATTATATCTACCAGTAATCGATCAAGTAAATTAATTAAGTTATATAATTGTAATTAAATAAATCAGTAATATCAATAGTTAATCAGTACAATTGATATTAAGAGTTGATACTTATAAAATAATAAAATAATAAGGTAATAATAAAATATATAATATGATCATTAAGAATCTTAATAGTTAAAATAAGAGAAATAAAATAAATACAACAATACAACAGTAAACTTCTAACAGCAATTTGAGAAATCAATTCTTTTTATATCTTTTATAACCAAGATATCGAAGTCTAAAGCTTTATTAGAAGAGTGAAAAAATAGCTCTTTTATACTTTTGAGATACATTAAAGGCTTACTGCAAGAAAAATACTTTTTCTATATTTTAAGTCTGGGTCTATACTTTGTTGTTTTAACATTATCAACCTATCCAACCTTAGCCTATCCAAACCTATATCTTTTAAGCTAATTTTATCACTATACTTCTAAGCTTTTTCAGATCTAATCCCATGCCTCAAAATAATAAACAAATAAAAAGAATCTATAGATATAAGAATAAACAAAGACAATAAATAAAATAAATAATTGTACAAATCTAAACTTCTAAGTTTTCACCACCAATGAGCCTTACAATATCTCTGTAGTCATAGTTTAATCTTAATACATAACGTCATTACTACCTATATTATGTCCA